CCAATTTTAAATTTCTCTTTAACAAGTGTCCTTATATTTTTAAACATTTAAATTAATTAATCGAATAATTCTGGATGAGATAAGATAAAATTAAATCCACAAATACTTTAATATAAACATCATAGATTTCCAGAATTCTTAAAACTTTCTAGAAAATATAATAAATCCATGACTTTAATTAATATACATATACATAGTATATTACATTTCATTCAATATGATACCTTCGTATAACAATAAACGTTTGAAATAATGAAAATAAAATGTAGAACGTAATATAAAGAAAAAGCACTTCATTGAAAAATTATATACAATTAATACTTTAATACACACATCCTTGACAATTTGATACCGCATAGATGAAACTATTCCGATCTCGTCCGCGTGAAAAAGCGAGACAGATATATTATTTTCCCTTATTCAAACCGCGAACGAAACGAGATCCAAATTCCGCTGATTACGACGTTGGGGAAAGTTTTCGCGGAACAAATCGTCGAGATGAAAAGGTTTTAAAATTGGAGTACGCGTGTAAAAAAAAAAAAAGAAAAAAAACACGGAACAAAAAAGGAGAAACGAATCCTATATATATTTGTACGCACACACGTATCCATCCACACGCTCGTTACAAATTCCCACCCCAACCCCTTCTCCCCCAATTATTTTTAATTACTCCCCCTTCCTTGTTGTTTTTCTTCCTATTTTCTTTTTTTCAACAAATTTCCATTCCTCCTTATCCATCCCTTTCCAATTTCTCACCAGCCTATGGTAATTTCTTCCTCGAACAGTGGTGGCGCGCCGAAACCAAACTGGCCTTAAAACGACCAATTAAAACGAATAAACGAATTCCTATTAGAATGTAGTAATTAAAACCGCGTGTGGCAGAAACACGGGTCGGGGCGCGCGGTGTTGTCAGCCGGCTAACGAGTTCCCTTACTTTTCTTATTATGCCACTATCTAATTTCCCCGCGTGCAATCTTCCACGCCGATTTTCTCACGTAACGTAAAACGCCATCGCGTTCAGATCCCGCCGGTGGCGACTCTCCCCGTGGGAATTTTCGGTCGGACAGGTTTGCGGTAATAAACGGGGACGATTGTTTCGAAAAGTGAGGATGCTATGCGTAATAATACATTCGCCGCCCATTCATCGCGCACGCCCGTGATTTATATTTAGGGATTACTAACAGTGTCTGTTTCTTATACGCTCGAAGTCGAGGTGACAAGAAATTCGAGGTGTTTTTGATGCCTTATCTTCTCTCAGATTCGCGTACGTTTGATTTGGAATTATTCTAAAAGAGATTAAAGTTTGTCGAAGAAATTCTGCATCAGAATCTTTGAATAATGCTTTGAAAGTATTTGTAATGGTGCATTTGAAATCCCGTATCCTGAGAAAGTTAAAGAGGAGGTATTCTATGGTAAATATTTGGAAAAATAGAGTTTCTTTTTTTTTGATCTTGCTGTATTATTTAAATGATCCTTTTTAGGAAGTTAGTCTAATAATAAGATGAACATAATTTTATAAATTTATATGTATATATATGTAAGTAGAATCATCATGATACCAATCAGATAAAAAAATGAATGAATATTACATTTAAATACTACATGAATACATCATTGAGTTTGTATGTAGTATATGTAATTTATAAAAATTGAAGATTACAATATTTAACAATTGGAATTATCAAGATCCATAGCATAATAACAAGGATAAACATAAAAGAATCACAAGGAGCGTAAAATAAAATCAAACAAAATATAAATAGTAGATAAACTATTTAATGTTATAAGAATTTTAAAATATACGATATTTAAAACGAACAATATCTATATTTATATCACCAAAATGACAAAATTATAAACGTAATATTAAACTAATAACAAAGAAAAATAATAATCCAGACACGATTAAAAGAATCTTTAGATAGTTGGCGAACGACATGATTGCAAGGGAAAGAATGGAAGGAACGCAATAGCTACGTCCGCAGAATAGCTACGTCATGGTGACGGTAATTGTGCCAATACCCTTTCATCGAATCCCTAAAGATCGTACCAATTCGGAAGATTACCTCCGACATCTCGAACTTCAATCCTCCGTGGAATCACTTTCTGCCTTGAAGAATGAGAACGCCGGTAGGAACAGTATTTGATTACGTGGGAACCGAACACATTGCGTGCGTCTTGTTCATTTTGTTTCATGCGATCATCCATGTCGATGAAATCTTTCGAGAGAAAGTAACGATTTAATATCCATCGTTGTTTGAGATTGAACATAAAGAAAAATTTATGCTACTGTGCTATGGACTGATATGAAAATTAGATTGAGGAATTTTGTGCAAATATATAGTTTTCATATTACGTTTTGCATATTTTATATAAATGATATAACAATGTTCGACTACAAAATTAGAAAATCTATAATATTTGTTTGATTAATCTTGAATTAATTAAATAAGTTTAATTTATCTAAATATTATTAAACAGTTTTTAAATCAATTTATACTTTTTAATATATTATAAACAATATTTTATTAAATTTTAACGTATCAGTAAAAGTTCCATCGAATTTTCGTCAATAGAATTTGTTCAATCAATTCTTAACCGAATAAAACATCGTTATACAGAATCGATTCTACAAGTTTTCGTTTGTACACTCATTTATCCCTATTACCAACCCCTTTAAATCCTAGGAATTTAAGGATTAAGTATAGTAGAAATAACAGTGGAGGTATCTACACTGTCAATCCATAAGCGATGTGAAACAGGATGTTACGTGTATGGTAAGTAATTCTGATAATAGTAGACTGCAGTATGGCCACTGACGGTACTGCAGTTGTTTCACAAACTTGTTGGTATTTCAATCGTTGAGAATTTTTTTCTCAAACTTTTATCATTTAAAATTAAAACTATTTTTCTTAAAATTTTATTCTTCTCACAATCTTCATCTTGTAATAATTATTTAATAATTTCTTCAGCAATAAACTAGGAAATTTTTATAGAAAATTTTTCTGCACCAACTGCAGAAGTAGTACCAATAGCTCCTAGTACCAATTATTTGCACTAGATGGTGCTACTATTCACAATAATCGTTTTATAAAACAAATTATTTTTAATAATTGCATTTAAATACAAAAGTAATGAGAAAAAAATTTTTAAAGAAAAGACTTGTTTTAAGAAAATAGTTAAAAAATTATTTGAATAATCTTTATAAAATAAGTAGAATGAAATAAAGAAAGAGAAGTTTGTCGAGATATTAGTTTATGATAGTCTATTAATACTATTCTAGGTCATACCATTTTCGTGTACTAGATTTTCCTACATTACTGCGTAGATTCTGATTAATTTTACGAGCATGATTACGCATAACTAACAATCCGCTTATTCTGTAGGAATTGGACAGTAGTTTACTTGCTTTAACAACCCTAGTTATGATAATGTCAGTACTAATTATGGCATACTGCGCGAACTAAATTAATCCAATAGTAACTGCAAATAACAGCAGAAGCTTTGTCTTTTTCATCAATTTCTTGATTTATAGAAAAAATTTTATCTAATTAACTTTATTAAACCAATCCTTTTTACAATTTCGAATAATATTTGATAAAAGTTATATTTTTAATGTTAAAAATCTATAGAATCAAAAATTATAAATAAAGTTGCAATATTTTCGGATAATTTCGATTGCTATTATTCTAATTTGCTCAATTAGAAGAGACCATTGCCTTTTGTAATCACAATTTATTGGTCTTATTATGTTATCATTTTTATCAATACCTGGTAATATCGACAATTTTAAATTAGAATATATATAATGATCATTTGAATTTGGACACAACTCGTTCATTCAAATACTTCCATTTAAAAAATAAATAAATATAATAAAAATTCTAAATATAAACGTATCAGTAACAATATGTGATATCAAATCACAAGAAATAAAAGAGACAAATTAAATACAATTAAAAATATTCTACTAATATATTGTTAAAATATAATCAATTGACTAAGAAAAAAAATTCGTTTAAATAACCACAGACAATTAAAGATAACCGCAAACTGTATTCGTCGAATCCATTATCATCGATTCCCTTAATAATCACCCTGATAGGTATCACGAAAGCCATACAGATTTCCTTTCGTAAAAGCAGAGAATTACAGGAAATTTGGTATCGATATCAAATTGTTCGATGCACCTAGAACTTATGTAGTTGTAGCCAACTACAAACCATCGTTTCTCGTGCGCGTAGATAGCAAGACCGGTCTAGAAAAAAAAAAGGGGGAGGGAGTGAGAAAGAGAGGAAGAGGGTGATCCGCGTGGCGCGATAATTTAAAAAGCGTGATAAATTGACACGTAGGAATAAGCCGGCACGAGAAGGGGCTTATGACTTCGGCCAAGCGCATCGGCAGTGCTCGATAAAGTCGGTTGAAAAAGGGGTTTAAAGGGCCACAGAAAACGAGGTGAAACGATCGTGTCGATGGAAAAATGAGCGAGAAAGACTATGCAGATGGGACTATGCAGTTGTCGGAAGCGTCAGCTGGAGTTTCGAATGGAAACGGTTAGGGTGGGATTCGCCCGTGATGGTGAATAGATCTCGGATATACAGGGTGTTAATATATATTCATGATACATTTTACTCGATTTATTCTGGAGGGCAGAACAAGCACACAAAAGTTGCTGCACATAAAAATAATGCATTAGAGATTTATCAAGCATTACGAGCAATTTAAATTTGTATGAAACAAGCAAGGTAGCTTCATCTTCGTTACACCCCCATTTTATTCCATCTCATTTTCTTCAGAACGAACTTCAACTCGCTTCTAACTTAATAAATAAGTCAATATCTTTCTATATCGACTTTTGTGATCTTCCAAAGTTGTTCTATAAATATATTGACACCCTGTATAAAGCGCAGGTATGATGGCGCTGGCGGATGGCGCGGGCCGGAAGGAGGGAGTCCGGCGGATACGAACTCGGATAGCGGAACAGTGGCTCAGTTTGTTTTCGTTGGTCCTTGTGGAAGGTTCGTAGTGATCGAATTTTCGTACCAAAATTAGCCGGCTCACTACAATTTTTTATTTTCTTCCTCCCAATATACATTGCTATACAATCACTGTTAATTTTCAAAGAATTCCCGACGAGTAACAAGAGTTACCAAGTGTCGACATCGCGTGTAAATGTCGTGATATGAACGAAGATCAATTAATCAACTTAGAAAAGGTTGTCGTGAGTAAAGTGTCAAGTGCGAGCGGACCATGAATAAGATGACACGATGCTGGTTCCTCTACAGTCTGTTTCTGCTGGGATGCGTTCAAGGTCGGTGCGCAACCCTTTTATTTATACCCAATTAATTAGACTCCAAGCATCGATTCGTCAAATAGAATTTGAACTTCATCCATCGATATCTAAGATCAATTTATTCTAACGATAAAGGAATTCCAACAAACGAATGCGCAATTAATATGATATTCATGCCCCAATGTTCAATTTCGCGGTGTTCGAATGCAAGGACCGCAGGTGGCCAATACAGTTGCCCGATACGAAATTGCTTCCGGTTACGTTGCGAGTTTTCGTGGGGGTTCCGGACGTCTTTTTCCCAGTTGTTTATGCACACACGCGGCACGGCCACGTGCTTTATCTCTTCGCAAGAATAACGAAGTCGAACGTGCCTCTTCACTTCCCCCTTTCGTTTCCGTTTTCCCTATCGAATGATACGTTTGCACTCCTGTACCGAACGAGCTTTAAAGCTTTCGATTAATCTGTTTGAAAAAATTTGCTGCGCAATAGAACGAGCAAAATTCCTACATTCTGCGACACCACGACCGTATCCTTGGCACACATCGTTCTACCGAGCTTTACCACGTTGCTTTCGAAGCTATTTTTAAGCGGACCCACAGTTCACCGATCCGAGTGTGCCAGTCCTCTTCTCTGTTCATCGCGTCGCCGTGGCGTCGTTTTCGGCCCGCGTTTCGCATTCGAAACAGCGATGCTCTCATGGCTCTCGCGCCCTCATTTCCACCACCAAGGCAATCTAATTTGATGGGTTTTGGAAATAGAAACGGGAATGCGAAAAGGGAAATCACGTAGCAAATTTTCTTCGTCTCGTTTTTCTTTCATCCTCGAGCTTCGTCGTTTCTTCAGAAATTTTATCAATGAGATTTTTGTTTCGAGTATTTTTAAATGCTAGTTTATTATTAGCTCGATCGAATTTTTCTTCTTGTCGATTCCTTCAATTATATATTTTTCACTGGAAAAGGAATTTTAATACACGTTTAATTAGAACTGTAATCACGTGACACGGTTAAAGAGATATCGACAGATAAAAATAGACGAGTATTGACGTATAAGCTTGAAATTTTTCGCTATAATTATCAAGCTCGTTTTATACTTTCATTTCATTCGATTCGGAACGAATTCGAAGATAATTTTGTATGATTTCTTGAACAGATTGATGGTGGAAAAACATTTTAAAAAAGAAACCGCTTTTTTCACAAATACAAGATTCTCCATGCAGATTCTTATTAACTTATCATTTTACTTATTCAATGCTTTTTCTCCCTTTTCTCTCTTCCCTACATACCTACAATTTAACTTTATCATTGGAAGGGTGCAAGGTGCGCGGAAGTGGAGCGTTGTCCGTATTTCTTTTTATTTCTTTCTTTTTTTTTTCTTTCCTTAGAATCGTTCCCCTTTATGCGGGGTTTCCATTCATCGTGAATCACGTGCTGATAGACACGACCGCTCGAGGGCTCGTGCACGGTAAAGCATTGATTTGGAACGATCCTCTTTAAAAATGACACAATACGTATTTTAAATTGGAAAATTATTGTTATATATATCGAGTTATTTATTTAAAATCTCCACATTTTCTTTGTGGAATTCTTCAGATAACTTTTGAATTTATATCTGGAACCAGATTTCATTCTTGAGTTTCTTATAAATCTTTTAAGTATTTGATTCAACGAGCGATTGTTCTATAACGAGGTGGAAACTTCAATTACTTAGAATTTTTTGAGAAGCTAGAACAGTGAAATAATTGCAGATATAAAGGATCTAGATTAGATTACTAAGGATCTAGTTAGAAAACTTATGAATGAAATGAATTTTTTTTTTGATGATAGAAATAGAATCGGGTTAAGAAGATTTTATCTTTGTAATGTGATAATGTGAAATGATTATAAACGTGTCCTGTTTTGTAATACCATATGATATTGCAACAGTTAAACATTGCATATAAAGATACATCACTTTGGAATTACTTTGTTTATTAGTTTACCAGTAGGAACTTTGGTGTTACAAAGTTATTAGATTCAAGTCACTGTTAATCGCTTTTGAAGTACATGTCGCCATTGTTTTACTAAGTGCACGTAAACGCGTAATTTACACGTCCAGCAATAGCAACTAGATTAAATACTTCCTTGAAATGCAAATTGAGCTATTGTCTAGGGATTTTAGAAATTTGAATTTAAAAAAAGAAATTATTTCCTTATTAAATATATAATTACTTGTAATTATATTTATAATTACGAAGAATAAATCAATTCAATTCAAAATAAGTCAATTAATAGAGTAATTAAAAGTTACGATGATATTATAATTATATTGATAAAAAAAACGAAAGAAACTTTGTTAAATTAATCATTATAGTTTTTGATCAAATTTGAATTTATTTCATTGCATTGTTTCTTCTTACATCAGAGGTAACGTTATACAGTTAATATAATACTGGATAGTAAACGGTGCCAACTGGCATGTATAAAAAGGCAAATTATATGCTCAACTGCTAGACATTTAAAATGAATGTATAAACGAACTTGATTATTTTTAAGCATTCATCGAAAATTTTTAGAACGTGTGTCATCAATGAATCGATGACTGAAATTGGTTCATAAGCTCTTAACATATATTTGTAAATGTTAAATTTTACGTAGATCTCATAAATTATTTCATTTCTATTTTTATTATTTCTTTCATATTTCTCAATTATGATAGGTTTCTTTTAATGCTTTTTTCTTTCGATTGTTTGTTGAAACTAGAATTTATTCGATAAAACAATACAATTTTGATGAATTAAATAAAATGAAGTTTATTACACTTTGAATATTTTGTTTTCTGTGCATCATGTGCATTCTGTAGATGTTTTTGCATTTAAATTTTGTATAAATATCAGATTAGCAGATTAATAATATAGACCTATATATAATTCAATCTGTTAAAGAACGAATATAACTAGTTATCCGGCTTATTAGATTTTGAATACTTAAATCTTGGCATCAAAGCGAATATGAAATAGCAATTAAATTAGTTAGCAATTAAATTTTCTAAGAAATATTCTTACAATTTTTAGCTTTAACTCTTATTTGAAAATTTATTTAATCCTTTATTTAATCCCTTTGTGCTTTAGGAAAGATAAAAATAAAGAAAAATTGTATCTATCAAAATATATTCGATAAAAATCAATTTTCATTGAATAAAATCGTTCGAGAATTTAAAAAAAAAAAAAATCCTTTGAAGTCGCGATATTCCAATAACCCATATAACATACAAATATTTTATAATTAATAAAATCAATTTTAAAGCGAAATCTTCCATTCAATTATATATTCGTAATTACGTTTTAATTTTATTGATAACAAAAAATGTGCACACGTTAATTCGTGTCACAACTGAGGTATTGTACGCGTTACCGCACTTATTGGAGATGATCACCTTTAATAGAAGCGGAGGAATTTTAAATTACACCGTGGCCATTACGTCGCAGCATTGAAACTGTCCTGTGTGTCACTGGATCACTGTGTGCCTGTCCTCGATTCTATTGCGATTTTCCGGCAGAAAATTTGTTATATTACGCTTAATAGAGCACAAGTTGTTTAGAAACATTGTATTCGACCAGTCGAATAAACTTTGTAATATATTTATTTTTCTTATCAATTGTATTACTCTTCTTAATCTTCATTCCACCAAAATGAGATCGCCGAACTTCTTTGTCAAGGGAATTCCTTAAGCTACATTGGTTTATCGTTTAGAAAACAATTTGTGTCATTTACAAACTTTCCGTGTTCTTGGTCATTATTCGATTAAGATTCGATTATAAATTTTGGCTCTTCCTGGAATTTTCGTTGTAAATATAAATCACGAGTATTCGACAATGATAGAATCAGGAATATCGGATAAGATGGAAATACGAATATTTTTTTTTCCAAAATCGGAAATGGGAAATTTTTAAAAATATCTCGAAACTTTCAGATTTCCCAATAATATTCGGGATTCCTGAGAATATTTGGGATTTCTTAGAATGTTCCTAGAATTTAGAATCCCAGACATTGCTGACAATCCTGAAATTTTTTGAAATCAGGACGCGTTCCCGAAACTTTCGAGTTTTCCAATAATGTCCAAAATTCTCTGGAATGGTGTTAGAATTTAGATTCTCGATATTCTCAGGAATCTCGACATTTTCTAGAATTAGGACGAATTTCCCAAACTTTTATATTTTTCAGTAACGTGGAAAAATAATCTTAGAATTGAATATTAATAATTTTACTGAATTCTCGTATCATTTTCCAATATTTGAAATTTAGAAATTCTTCTGGATCCTAACCCGATCAATGCCTTACTCGAGTATCTACCCTACCACATATCCCTTTTTCAATACTCTGAGCACGAAGAATAGGAATAAAAGGAAAGGATCGTTCTTTCACTCTCCCTCGTAAATCGATCCTCCGCAGTCCACAACCCTTCTTTTTTTTTTTTTCCTTTCTCGTCACTACTGTTCTTTTTCGCTATTCTTCAGAATGCTGGCAACTCGTGATAAAAAACGTCACCATACCGTCGATGGTGAAAGCCAACGACACCGATCATGTGATCCTGGATTGCGATTATGATCTCGAGGACACGCCGAGCAAAGGATTAGTCGTGAAATGGTTCTTTAACGCGGATGAAGTGGCCTATCAATGGATATACGGTAGGGAACCTCTGGCCGGCGATACGTTGTCGAACTATGTCGAACTGAAGTACCCTGCCAGCGACGATCCGTACACAATGTATCGAGCTATAAAATTAAATAACCCTGATATCGAACTTAGCGGAGAGTATAGGTGCGTCATATCCACGTTTGCGGACGAGAAGTCCGCTAGCGGATCCATGATCGTATATTGTGAGTACATTCTGCTTCCAATTTTGACTAAATAATTAATTGCCATTGTTTTTTAAACGTTGATTTATACCGAATAAAATGTAATGATCCAATTTTTTATTATAGCGTCGTTACGTAATTTTCTTCTTCTTTAGCTTTACTCTTTTTCTTCGTTCTCGTTTTCTTTATGCTTGTGCATGTCTTTGATTTGTATACCAATTGTGGAAATTATAAATAATGTAAAGTATTGATATGATGAATGGTAATAGGTTTTAAAGATTAAATGAATTTTTTAACGCTCTTTGCGAATAATTATTTTCAATTATAAATAAATATTTTTCATTGCATGTATTGAGTGAAACTTTAAACATAATAAAAATTGAAATTTATTGTATCTCGTATTAAATAAATTAATAATTCGTTTGTTCCAGCAACAGAGAAAAAGTTCGATCTTATATATAGAAAGAAAACTATAGATGATAAGGATGGGGTGGAGATAACATGCATGGCGGAAGGACTATATCCACAACCTACTCTTAACATATCCATCGAGTAAGTACTTACTTCAACAAGCTTTTTAATTATAACTATATACAACAACTCCATTTTCTAGATATTTTTAGATTTTGATAAAAACTTCTCTTTCATTGTTAACGAATTAATTGTTTGTTCACGAAACATTATATGATATGTTATAATTTTAGTTTAGAAAGATTAATTAAGATTCTAATTAATTTTTAATTTAAATATATACATTTATTTTTTTTTAAACTCGTTTAAATATAAGAGAAATTAAATTATTCATAATATTTTGTATATTCTAATCTTTTTAATAAATAAATAATATATATTGGAGGATAAATTTTAACGAATTACGATACAATATTAAATTTAATATTTAACTTCATAATAAAATAAAAAAAAAATCAACTTCTATTATTTAATATTTTCTAGAAAAAATATTTTATCACATTACTTAATAACGAAAACTCGTATGCATGAAAAATTTATAAATGATAAAAATAAAGTAAAAAAATAAGTATTTTCTTATCTTAACACAAGAAACTTCTTAACGATAACAAAGAAAATTGTCAGATTGTAATAATAAGCTCGAAATACATGGAAGAATTATATATAGGAACAAAGCAAAAGTTAAATTGTATTAAATAAATATCGTCATTATTTTGAATATTCTTTGAAATTTTCAACCTTCGAAACAAAATATTGATTATTATAATTATTTTATCTTTTGGATGACATTGGCATATATTTAAGTTATATAAGTAATACGCAATATTTCCTTTAACTTTAAGTTAATCTCTAAATTACGCGTCATTTTGTATTTCTAAAATTATATATAATAACAGCTTTCAACTTTTAATCTCTTTCAAATTCGATAAATTCTTCGTAATTTTAAACTATATATATTTTTAATAATTTAAAACTTTTTTAATATTTAAAATTTGAGACAAACTGAAAATGAAATTCTATGATTTCCCAAATTTTAAATTCTCTTTTCAATTAAAACTTTTGCTCAAAAAATCTTTGCTGTTAAAACTTTTTCCTAAATTTCAACCATTTCAATAATAAAAATTTTCATTTCAAAATCAACAAAAGAGAACTATTTCAACTATACCATTCACAACATACTTTTCATCTCACAATGATCAAACATTATTATAGACGATCTCTCGTATTTCCCAATTTCAAGGTAAAATTACACATGCGTCTTCGAAATAACATTACCATGCTAATGCTCGTTCAGCCGACGTATTGCATGATATTTCAAGTTGGAACGTGGCCGTGATAATTTTGCAAGTTTCGCTTCCATTACAGGGGTGTCCCGGAAAATCAAACCTTCGATATTATACAGCGTGCCGATGGACTGTACAACGTCTTATCACGAACGACCTTTCTGGACGAAGAGTTACCGGATATAACAACTATCTTATGCTTGCTCCATATACCAGAGGCGAACTACAACGTTTCCCACGAAACCGTCTATTATCCCAGTTAGTATAAACGTATTTTAATCTATCCACAATTAGCCGCAAAAGTCTTCAGTGCATTATCTTATGAGAAAATATTTCACTCAATTTGGAAATTGTTGTTTTAATAAAAATTGTTGTACATGGTAAATGTTTCAGATAACATTTTTTCTTTTTTTAAAAAAAAAATTCTTAAAAATCTTCTCAAAAAATCTTTCAAATTTTTTATTTTTTTTATTGAATTTTTTTTTCTATTTTTCCTATTTTTTTATTTATCATTCTATTTTTTTCTACAAAAAACAAAAATAAATATATCTGTATATTTTATATATTCAAAGTTTCATTATTTTGAAAATTTAAGAATTGATTTCTTCTCTTCAAAGTGATATTATCTTAATAAAAAAAAAAAATCATTCATATAAAATAAAATTATTATTAATTTTGATGATATAGTTTGTTAATTGAATACACATAAAATGTTTGAAGACTTTTATAATTGATTGCATCTTTGTTTTTCTATTTCTCTATCTTCCTCTGTTGTACGTTGTATCGAAAGCGTTTTACTTTTGATCTCTTCGTATTACAGTTATAAAGAAGGGTTAGAGGAAAAAAAGAAAAGAAAAAGGAGTAGTTCGTTATTAAAGTTGGGATTAAAAAGAAAATGCAGCTCACGAATTAACGATTTTATTTTCCTAACTCTTGGATATCGATTGATGTTAACCCTTTAACGGGACTTGATTTACTCGTGTTTCGTGATGTAAATATTTACCAGGTAGAGTTGTTTGCTTTTATAACCTGGATAAATTTGCTTGGTGGTTTTAAATTGCTTTAGTTTAACCTTGCTTTTAAGTTTTTCGAAATTATACTTCAGATGAATATGTGATAATTTATAAAAAAAAATATAAAGTTAGAATGAAATTATTAATTTTCTCTTTCTTCTGCAAAACTTCACTTTTGTCAAATAGATTGATATTAATATCATCTTTTGAAGAAGAAATTATTTTAGAAATGATTTAAAAAATTTTAATGAGTGATTATTTATAGATATAAATAAAGATATGATAAACGAACTTTTCTAACAATTTGTAGCTATTATGCTAAAAATAATTACAGAGCTTCTACTATCGACTTCCTGCAACAACTTCCTCTGAAGTAAGTATTGGAAAGCTTTGCTAATAAAAATGTGGTATTAATTTATAAATGTATTTATGTATTAAATGTATTAAATGTATAATATAACTCTTGTCAATGTATGTAACATCTAAATATATTTGAATTGTTTAAAATCGAATTGCCTTGGCTCGTGTACAATTGTAAGTGTATATGTCTCTGTTCTGTACAACAAGCAATAAGCACCAATGCAATAAATTAAACGTGGTCGATTGAAAAATAAACAAAATAACTCATTGATCATCTGAATATTTCATATGTACATATATGTTTTTATTTAATATATATATTCTGCAAATATCCAGAAATAAAATTATACATATATTTATTTATTATAAATTCATTTTCATTTTCAAACAATCACAGATCAACATTTTATAATTTCATCATATAAAACAATTTACAAACAAATCTATCATATAAAATCATAGTTTATCTTACTTTCTTACTTTCATTTTCTATTCCTTCATTCTCCAATTTTTCTTTTTAATTTGCTTCTCAAAATTAAACTTCAAAATAAACCAACCAATTTAGAGACATAAAAATTTTAAAATATCGCTGTGCTTTTTACTAACAAAGAAAGCATTCATATAAAAATACTGTCAAACTAACTAATGAACTAAAATCATAATTGGCTGCTTCTGTTTCTAACACTTTAACTACATTGATAGAGGAATATATGCTTACTACTTGATGGACGCGATATGTGGTGTTTATTGTGCAGGGCCGCCTACTTCAACTACTACAACGAAGCTGCTGCACAAAATGGAGACCCAAACGTTAAACGACTCAGAGCCTGGCAATGGTGGTGGTAAGGCTTGTAAATTTCTCTTCTTATTCGCATCACCACCATAAGCCATTATTTATAAAAATTGGAAACTTTGACAAGATCGATGGTATTGTTTTTCTTGCATATAGGATTCCAAATTCCTGAATTTGCTGATGAACATTTGAAAACTGCTTTAGACACTTTAAATTTGATCTGATTTCTCTGATTTTTCTATCTTGACTCAGTTCGAGGCTGAACGATTCAAATTCCAATAAAAAGGGATTCACGTGTATCGACCGAAACTGTTTATTCGTTCAATGTAAAATTCTAAAATTAATAAAACTTAATAAAATTTAATTGAGAAGTTCTAGAAATAATACAATGAATTTTCAGAATCAGAATTCGAGAATAAAAATTAAATTTATTTTATCTTTGTAAATTTAAATTTATTGAAGTAATTCTCTTTTTTAATGTTTATTATATCTATTTAGTATTTTCGTAATTTAGTAATAGTTTTGTATATCAAAGAGATTCTATCAAATAAGACGAAAATTGAGAATTTTTATTTTCAAAAAAAATTTCTTTATAAAACTCAAATAATATATAAAAAATACAATTATACACTTCAGTCACGCAAAATTACGAACGAAACTTCGATTTTTCATTAAAAAAAATGTGAAAAGATATTAAAGATTTGCTCGTCAAAACCTATTCAAAACACAGAGAAAAGTATACCATTGAAGTCACTTTTTGAATTATCTCAATATTTCAATCGGTTACCGAGATATAAGGATTCAAAGTAACGCTTTAAAGTGTGAAATTTATGAATGGGCCCACGACCCAGTGACCTATTTCTTCCTGGAAATGCCTACTACTTCCAGGAATCGCGTCTGTCACTTGTCTAGAGTTTGGGATAGGTCACTGAGACGAAGTGCGAGCGAGAGATCCGAATAAACGACAAGGATAGAGATAGTAAACGATCAAAAATTACCTTTTTCTTTATGTGATAATATCTAGACAACCAGAAGTCGTATCGAGATAAATAAAAAAGTGTTTTAAAGGATAAGAATCTACGCTTCTAATGATTTTTCACTCGTTGGTTGGAAATCAATATCTTTGAAGTTATAGCGGTTTAAAGTTTACTTAATTTTAATCGAGTTTTAAGATAAATCATACGATAAGTATTTTTATTTTTGAAGAAAATATTATTTTTACGATGTTATTAATGATGTATTGATAATTTTTAATAGATTTAATAGCTATTCTGAATCTTTTATATGTTTTCTCGTATCTACAGATATTCTAATCGATTTTCAACTGTGAATAAGTAATAATGAATAAATATTCTTGATTTTCGTCTTATATTAAACCATAGAATGTACGAAAAATTAATAATTTCTGTATATATACATATTATTACACGTGAATTTCTTTTCAATTTAAAAAACTTAATTCACTTCGAACGAAATTTTGAACAAATTTGCTTTTAGCACCGTGTTTTTAGCACTTTATTGCATTTTGGTATTTCTTCTGAGACATTTTGTATTTATGTATTAACGCTTAAAAGCTTTATCAATGAAACTTAAATAAAAATAGTATTTTAATTTCATCCAAAATAGATTGTTTTTAAGATTTAACATTGCTAAGCAAAATATTGATGCTAACTATGCCGCTTGCTTTAGCAAAATAACCAATATTTGCATATGATATGATACAAAGAATATACACACAACTCCTAAACATCGGATAAATAAACAAACATCAAGTGTTTACAATATGCTTCATAATGGAAACTATACATCTCTTCGTAAATATTTCATTGAAATTAATATTTATACAAATTCGAACGATGAACAGTTAGTTTTATCAACGATAAATATTCAAGCATGAAGTAAATTAATTTTACGTAAATGTAAATGAATTTTTCAAAATTCAATATTACGAATCATCAGAAATTCATTCGAAATTTATTTATTCATTTGGACAAGGAATGTTTAACAAGGAAGACAAAGTGCATTTGAAAATAAGGAAAGGAACTTCATTTTCAGGAAAGGCAACTTCCATTGAAGATTATTATTAAATTGTTCAAACTAACATGTCTCCATACATAACATCCTTTTCCTCGTGGAAAATTTCTTCCATTAAGTTAACCGAACTTTCCAAGATATATCTTCATTGCGGAACAAACTTCCATCCAATGATTAAATCGAACATTATCGAAAAGATCCTTATTCTCATCTCAAAACTTCTTTCATCAACGATTAAATTTTACGTTCGCCCATTTTTGAAACATCTTATACCATTCCGTTATGTCCGTCTTTTTCTTAGATTTTCTCTCCCTCTCTCTCTCTCTTTATTCATCCACCCTTGACATCCTTTTGAAACATAGTATTACATTCACCTTTTTTCAATCTCTTTCTCTCTACCTTTTTACATTCTTTCGAAGCATTCTGTACTGTACTGTTACATTCATCTTTTCTTCATATCTCTCTCCCTATCTCTCTCTTTCTCTCTCTTTCTCTTTCTCTATTCATCTTTTTAAAGTATATTAAAGTATATCTCCGTTACATCTTCTCTTTCTATTTCTATCTATCCACTTTTGAAGCATCCTTTTGAAGCATCCTGTATTGCCTGTTCCTATATCCACCCTTACAATCATCCCTCCTCTCTCTCTTTCTCTCTTTTCTTATCTTGGCAAACGATTAAATCGGCCAATGGGAAAAAGTTTCGAGCAATGAAACCGTTTCTTAAGTTAATGGAGGAAACGATAGATAAAAGAAGAAAGTTCACAAATAAGAAAGTAATTAGCCGTGGAAGGGAGTTAATTCTTACTGCTAATGGAAACCCTTTCTGTTGATGCAGGGATGAGAGACTAAAAGGAAGAAGAAATTTCCCTAATTTAAAAAACATGCAGTTTAGCATTAGCGATTCGTGACTTAAAATAAGTGTAACGGTGTTATGTGACATCGTATCTCGTAAACTTTTGATCACGGAATCGAAGCTTATAGAAAATGATATTCGATTAAAATATCTAGACCTCTAGAAGAAATACTGTACTGTATATTTTCCAACAAAATGGGTAAATTATCGACATGTTTATCGAGTTTTAACGAGACGATTGACCGATTTCAAAATGATATTGAAGATAGAAAAAAAAGTATGCTGTTATGGACCTCAAAAGGAGGAAGGAACTGGAGAGATGTTCTTTGTGAAATTTAAAAGAGGAATTCTCAGATAGCTTAGAATTATGCACCTTTGACATTTGTAAGACACTTGATGCCTTATGAATTGTGTGGCCTTTCGACCCAATTTCTCTATCGTAGCGAAATCTCTTGAATTTAAAAAAAATTTAAAAAAAAAATAATCGTTTATAATAATTAGATTTTTCTCTCGTGTAAAAATGAATAGAGATAAGATAAAAATGCGTGATAACTTTCACTACAAAGAAAAGTGTAATATTATTAGCATAGCAAGATAGATGACATCCATGGTATTGATTAATTTTCTTAAATAAAAAGGAAGTTTAACAAGTAAATAAATAATTTAATATGACGTTCACAATTCTAAAAGAAATTTGGAATCTGAAAAATGATAAATCGTTAGCTTTTTAATATTATTAGTATATATAGTAATAATTAGAAAGAATATATATATGAAAATATATTTCGAACATTGTTAAAATTAATTAATGAATACGTATACCTTCTTCTGGCATTACATTATGATGATTTCGTTGCAGGAAATCTGTCTGGTCAATTGTCAATTAATATTCTGCTAGCCATTATGCAGTTGCCACTAATCCACATATATAATTATCTTCAACCGTTTAATTAGGTAAGTAAATTAATATTATATTTTTCAGACTAATTTTTATATTTTAATTCAACTATATTTACATATGATATTTTATATTGATTTAATTTACATACCTTGAATAAAGCATCAAAGAATTATAACTTTTTTCAAAGCTGAATATATGTAATCCAAATAATTTCCATTTTATCCTTTATATTTTAATGATCTGCCAACTTCGTTATTCCAATTTGACAAGTTTTAACAAACTTTGAAAATCTTTTGCACAATATTTTCAAAGACTCTTTCCTTCAAAGTAATTAATTAAAAGAAATCAATTTACATATTTATAAATGTAACAAATCTTTCTGAGAAACTTCAACTTTCGCTTTGAAAATCTTTTCTGTATAAATATATTCCCTTAACGAACTATCATTTAAATATCAAATATAATTTTTTTTTTTTCCTAATTTAAATTCCAAATTACTGAAGTTTCGTAATCTTAAAATTATAAATATATTTCGTATAACTTCTTTTTCATTTTTATTTCATATATATGTTGGATAAATTTATCTAATAAAATCTAATATAATCTAATATAAATCTAATAAATTTATTATTGAAATATTTGTTTTCAGGTTTCAAAGCAGAATTATCAGAATCATTTGTACTACGCCTAAGATACTTATCGATAAACACGGTGTGCCTATGTTAAATGTTCTTTCACAAAATACAGACAGAGCCAAGTGTCTGAACATCAAAGTTCATTGTTCACATTGAAAAGTTTATAACTATTCACACACGTATATAGGTACACAATACATTAACAAGATAAGATGTAATGTGTTGTTTAGAGTGTTTCTTTTTTTTTATTTGTATTCTTAATGAAATTCTAGTTGTCATGATTGAGCACGATTTAAAAGAAAACCAAAGATATAGATATATGTTGATACGAGAAATAAGAGAAAAAGAAAAAAATTTTATAGATAAATATTCATATGACTTTGTAAATAAGATTTGATCGTAATATAATTCGAGTCATGGTTGTAGATTCTGTTTGTTATTCTTCGATGTCAGATTTATAATATATATATATACATTGTTTAAATGAATAAGAAATCTGTATGAAATTTTAAATATGATATAGGTACAATAGAGAAGATGTGTGTAATATATGTGTATAAATATAAAAATACGATGATAAAACATGCAAAAGAGAAAAAGATAAATGATTATATGTGTAATTATTTTGATATGTGTATGTAAATAAGTACAAAAACATGCGAGGATTATGATTAATACAATGGAGCCTTGATTAAACGAATGATAAACAAAGTTTAATCGAATTTTATAAAATATCAATAAAATAAAATATCAATTTTGAAAAATGAGTGGTGGAAAGAATTATTAATTAGAGAAACAAAAGAAAGAGGAAAAATGAGTGTCAATAGATCGAGGTTCGATTGTATTTAAGAAAGAAGAATAGATATTCTAGCATCTTAGCTCAGGAAAACGAATTGTACAGTCTCTGTAATATGATATTGCAAACGATTTATTATACGTGTTATTATATACATGTTTCCAAAACTCAAAACGTGAAGAAAATACTATAACAGTGTGAAAATTAAAAATATATATTCTGACGAAAAAAATAATTTAAAATTCAAATAATAAATTAGAGCAATTTTGGATACAGAAAAGACGATAACATTATCAATGAGTTTGAATCAATGAAAAGTCAAGTATTTCTATTATTGCCATTACATTAATTGCTGTCCAAAGAAACAATCAATGAATCAGCGTTTGAATGAAATATTTAATTGCTATCTTCATTGAGTTTTGTTAATTATGTTCAAAGAGAAAGGAATGTGATAAAATAAGACAAAGCAAATAAAAATAAGGATATGTACCAAAGTTGGTGACTAATAAAATTAAGTTTAATTTTGTATAGTATCTTTTTCACTATAACACGTGAAAAAATATCAGCCAATTTTTGTAGAAAAATCAATGTTGATGCCAGAATTGCCAAATCAATGTAATTGATTAATTTCAGACTTGCTTTTTGTAATTATTGAAATTATATAGATATTTTTGGAAAAATTATATCATTATTGATTTTATTTATACATGTATATTAAATTATTCAAATTATTTAATATTAATTTTAATTCTAATATTATAGATCGATTGTTCCAGTGTTTTTTTTTCGAAAAAGAAATTTTCACTTTCAATTGTTAACATTGAAACTTACTTATTAAAATTAAAATTAATATTAAAAAAAAAAAAAATTCTCTTATTTATATATTCAGAAGCAAGTAGAATATATTATATTAAATCTTTTGTTGCTTGATTATTAATTAAATTTTATTGTTCTCAAAACTGGATGTACACGAAGTGAAAACAACACTGAACAAAAAAAAAGGAAATGAAAAAAAATTATTATATATATGTTATAATTGTAAATAAAATTTCTGTAATATTTCTAGTCCTTTAAAGATGAGAAGTCTATCAGAGGAGAAGAGAAAAATGAAAAAGGAAAAGATTTTGTATTATAATTAAATTAAATTATAGTATAATTAAATTAAATTATAGTATAATTAATTTCTAGTTATGCTTTAGGGAAAGAAAAAAATTTTTCATATTTGTAAAATGAAATATATTTCTATACCAAAGGGATGGTGTACCTATATCATTGAATGTTCCACGAAACATTGAGTTCTAAAAAAAGATGTTCGATATAAAAAAATCGATAATTAACATTCACCTTCTTCGCTACGCTAATAAAAGAAAATAGAAAAAAATAATAATTAAAAAAACAAGATATATTTAAAAAAAAAGGAAAAGTAAAAATATATAAGTGAATTAAATTTATTTCAAAGGGATAATATCAGAAATATGAATATAATACATACCTCGAATTAATAGAATAACTGATAATTTCTCTCTTCAATTATAATAGCTTTTAAGAAATCAGGTTTATATTTTTGTAATGTTTTCAAACATGAATAATAGTTGTCTTAGTATATGCTTTATTTGATATTAACAATTTAATATTCTTAATTATTAATGTTTTTTTCTTCTAATTAATTCATATTTTTTAAATGATTTCTGCTTGTCATGTTTTGATGCTATTTTTATTTTCTTTTTTTTTTTTTGTTTATATCGAATCCTTCTCAAGGATTTATTTTAGAGGCAGGAAATATGCGATTCTTACTAACAAATTCTAATTTTTATTTTATCTGCTTTATTATAAAGAATTCTCGTAATTCTTCATTCTTCGATACTTTTTCTAATATTTTAATATGATGTGTTTTGTAATATTTAAAAAGTTGAATAAAAATGTTAATAAATGCGTTTTATTTAATTTCATATTTTTTCTGTTCATTTTATCTTTATTGCATTTATTTATTTGCATTTATTATTATTGGGATATTTGAATTTTATTTTAATTTTTATTTAAACATTTGATTTATATTTATAAATATTCAACATATTTATAAAATATATTTCTTTAATATTTATAAATTTATGTATATATATATATATATATATATATATGTATATATTTTCTGTGATATATAGAAAAAAAAATTTATTATTTATGTATTCCTATGATATCAAAATATATGTATATGTAAATATATGTATGAAATAGCTAAATGACACATAAATAATCATACTAAAATAATCATATAAAATTTCGTATTTACATATAAAAATGGATTTACTAAGATTTTTAATAAATAAATTAGATAAAAGATTAATCAAGACAATGAAATTAATCAGGAAAAAAGTTTAAAAAATCAAAGTCCGTCTCTTATGCATATAAATTCCGTAGAGCAAGTCTAGACAAGGAGAGCAAATAATAAGAGAAAGATAGAGATAGTGTAAAAATATTGAAATCAGCGCCATCTGCAGAGTGCCGCAAATGAAACACGTAAAGAAAGGACAGAAAATAGTGTGAGAAGGATAAAGAGAGTAAAAATTGGGTATGTGGCGCCATCTCTCGGATACGAATGTAACTATTTAATAGAAAGCGTAGCTAAAATCGGATACATGGCGCCATCTCTCGAATGCAAACGTAACTATTTAATAGAAAGCGTAGCTAAAATCGGATACATGGCGCCATCTCTCGAATGCAAAGGTAACTATTTATTAGAAAGATAAAGCAGAATAAGAATTGAGGATTAGCGCCATCTCTTGAATATCTTTTTAAGGAAATATTTTCAATACTCAATAGATGGCGTTAGTAATTAATTCTTTATCTCTATCCTTCTTCTATTATCTTCTATCCTTTCTTTTTGAGTTTCATTTGCGGCACTCTACAGATGGCGCTGATTTCAATAATTTTATTCTATCTCTATCCTTCTTCTATTATCTTCTATCCTTTCTTTTCGAGTTTCATTTACGGCACTCTACAGATGGCGCTGATTTCAATAGTTTTATACTATCTCTATCCTTTTTCTACTACTTGCTCTCCTTGTCTAGAACGCGTGCTTTCGTCGCTTGATACGAAATGTTAAATGAATATATTTTCATTATTTGTTTTTCAAAATTATAATATATGTGATATAAAAAAATGCATTAAATGTTAAATATATAATTTGAATAATTTTTATATATTGTATATATATATAAATATTATACATATATTTATATTTTTTTTATATCGTATAAATATTTTACTATTCTTATATGTCATAATGATATTCTTAATTTTTTAGGAACATTTTATTATTTTATTTCATCTTATTAATAAAAATCTATTTATCATAAAAAAATAATCAATTTTCTATATTATCTTATTACACAACATTTTCTTGATTTGCTTGATAAAAAAGCAAAAATATGGATAAACAAATTATTTAACATTTTTTTATTTAAAAATATAAAATATATTCATAAAATATTTTATTTTATAAAATTATTTTATAACATAGAATCACACATAATGATATATCAGACTTTATTTTCAGTTATATTTTTTACCTGTTTTTGTGCCTCCAATTTCTTTTTTCTTATTTCAATCCTTTTATGCTTTGTGCTTTTTAAATGAATGTTCCATTGAAATTCTCCAATAAATATCCTATCACAAATCTGTCAGAAAAAAAATGAAATTTTTAATTTTAATCGAAATCCAAATATAAATCAATATTAAAAGATTAAAAATTCAATACAAAAATTTACATCACAAAAATGTCTTTCCTCATTGCTACTATCACTGAATTTTTTATTCTTCACTGATTCGTTTAAAGGTTTTTGTTCAGGTTTTTCTCCTCTTAGCACAGCCTCGATTATTGCCACAGCTGGTTCATATACACAACTGTCCCATTGGTTCACATCGGTAGAATCTAATGCATAAATTGGTGGTACCTATAATCATTTTAAATTAAAATACAAAATATTTTTATATTATGAAAATAAAAAATATTATTAAAAATAATAAACAAACTATTTATTAAATAACACTTGGAACACTTTGTACTTGTCTGTCACTGCGACGAAGTAGACGATTCATAACCCATTTTATTTGTTTTTTTGCGTATCTCTTCGTAACCATTTTTAAATCATCAATACCCCTTTGCAATAATTCTTGTCCCTATAAATGAAACATTTATTTATATATATATCAATACATGTATATTAATATAATTATTAATTGATATTTTGAAATAAAATTAATAGTAGAAAGGAACATATTATGTTTCCTTTGTCAAAACTCATTGCTCCAACTCTTTCCATAGACAATAATTATATTTAATTATATCAATTTCAAAACCAATATCAATTCTGATCTCTAATCATCTGAAATTTGAAAATTGTAATCTATTAGATATAATTCTAGCAAAATTCATATAGACAAGCAAATATAAAAAATAAAAAGAAAAGAGAATAAAATTAATTTATCATTCTTATCTTCAAATTGTAACATCCAACGAGAACTTGAAACTAGGTAAAAAATACTAATAGATCAAAATTTATATCATTTTATTTATCTTATTTGCTTTTTCACTGATCATTTGCTGCTCACCTTTTTCCCTCGCTTCTCTTCTTCTGGCAACACGAGGTAATCGTGAAACTCTTTGAAGCCGATACTTTGAAAAATACCCTTCGTATAATCGACTGATCTGAAATCAAAAATAAAAATAAATAAATAAATAATTTATTCAAATCTATTTATTCGCAGCCTTTCTTCCATTATTTCAAATCATTCGCGCCAATTTTATTTTATTCTCGAACAACCTATCATATTCGTATAATATGGAATATTTCTTGTTTTCTGATATTGATATCAAAGTAATTTTTTCTATCAAAATGTATCACTGATATATCTATTATTAATTCAAATTTTGTGTAATTTGTAATTCAAAATATATATATTACAATGGGTATTCGTGGATTTAGAAGATTTTCAACTATCTACGTAATCAAACTTTTACCAATAAAAATCGTAAATAAAAGAAATATCATCATCGACAAGTGCAAGACTTACAAAGATTTCCTATTACGTGCGTAACCAACAAAATCATCATTCGGTCCTACAATCAGACTATCAACCCCAATATTATATCAAAAAAAAAAAAACTTCTTTCATCGCTGATAAAAAATTGAGGAAAGAAAGAATTTCGAAGATGAATTTTTTTTTTTTTTTTTTAGATAAGCGTCAAGGGTTCGTTCCATAGTCTTTAAACAACACGTCTCGAGATCACGTTCTGTGGCGATCGTGTCACGGCTCGCAAGTGACTGCATTTTACAACCATCTTATCACAGCTGGATAGTGATAACGGGGCGAAGCGAGGCCGAGCTTACGTGGCGGGAAAAAGGCTCACTTGCTCGCACACGTGTCAATGCCAAATATGTACCTGCCGAGTAGAAATCTGAATCTATCGATGGTATGGGTGTGCACGTGCACAATTACGTGAACTGTGCTCTATGGGTGTCAACAGGGCAGTCGAATCAAAAAGTCTTGTCTCGTACGCTCGCTTGGTTAAGATTACGATTTAAGTTCTCTCGTGTACTTGTGATGTTTTCTAACATCCGATAATGAGAATTTTTTTCATTCGAATGTATTTGTTCGAGAGATCGATTGTGATTTCAGATTATGATTCAAGTTAATAAT